ATATAATTAATAAATCTTCCATTACATATACAAAAGGAAATTTAATAAGTTAATTTCTAATTAGATTATGTGGCAAAAAATAAAAATTATATAATTAAAAAATTAGACCAAAAACCCATAAGTGGGACTCGGTTTAGATTATGGGACCATTGGGAACCAAAAAAGAAAAAAGAAAAATTAAAACCAATGGAGTTGTTTTAATTGTTTGAGAGAGAGGGGAAAAACTGGGAAAGCAAAAAAAAAGGGGGGGGGGGACATAAAATTTTGGATCATAAGGGATCAAATAAATATCTTGAGGCCTCATTGACTCATTCCTCAATCTCACCTCTCAGACATTAACGAATAGAATAGAGAGATGATTGGTCGAGAGACTGAAGGGTCGACGCTCGTTATTGAGGGCAAGAGAAAGAGATTAAGGCTCGTTGGGAAAGACCTAACTCGTCTGCAACTGCAGTGCTAGAGCTTCCATGAATGTACAATGAAGAAGACGACGACGGGTTTCTATGTGTCAGCGTCTATGATACTATACAGGTATATGCTATTTGTTAATTGTTGATCTATTTATATAATGGGAAAAAAATGGAAAAGGGTTTGATTAAGGATTCACCGCCTATATAAATTGCATGTGAAATCTTTTGATTGTAGAGAAATCATGTGGCTTTTGATTCTTCTAAAGGCTGATCTTTTTTATTTCTTTTTCGTCCATTGGTTTTTGAATTTTGCATGCAAGTTGGGTCTTTGAGTCATCTTCTATCACATCTCTTTTGCCTTTTTCTTTTTCTTTTTTTTGGCATATTCTTTACTATGTTGGGTTCTATAATTTATATGGTACAACTGAAAATATATCGATTCGAATAAGCTTGAATCGATTTGAATCGGATAAGAATCGGTGATTCAGTCGATGTGTACCGAGTTGGGCCGATACTTAATTGATTCAAGAGCGACTCGGATTTTTCCATAACGGGTATCAGTATCATCTCGGTGGTGGCTAAGGCAGATACGACTCGGCTTAGTCGTATTGGTCTCGACCGATACCTTGAACCGTGGCATTTATGCTTGGGTCACTACCATCACAAACAAAAAATTGTCTACTACACTAGAAAATATGCTCTACGACACCAAATAAGAGATGCTCTAAACGTCAATGCCACGGGTGTAGGAACTGAAGAGCTTGAACACCATCTGTATGGAGAGCTTGACTAGTAGACTTAGGAGAAGCTTCAGCATCCAGAAGATATAGACCAACATGTACTCTATTACTACCAATCATTTTTCTCGATTCCAGTTCTTGAAAGGTCTAATGAGTGGGGAAAAAGTCACTGAACAATTCAAATATTTTATAATGCTACTAACAGACAATAGGTTGGTGGATAATTTGGAACATGGAGAACAAAGGAGAGAAATAAACATGATGAACAGTTAATTGAATCTTTCACGAAAATAGAGGATAAGTATCCATCTATTATCTTGACCTTATTCCTACCAGAATATGTAACGTATGAAGAGAAAAGGCTAAAAGAACATGTATGAGCAAAGTTTGCAAAAGAGGCATGATTGGAAGCATCCACCCGAGCCATTAAGCGCCCAAGAATTTGCATCTCATCCTAGGAGAAATTAGATGGCGTAGACTAAGATGAAGTTTCTAAAGATTCAGTTATATTTTCATGAGATCGCATATTACTCCCTTGGCTACTTCCATGGCCACCACATCAGCCTCATGTAGGGCATCTAGTCAAAATCCAATAGAACTCTCTGGTATGTCTAGTCTTTCCATAATAGTCACATTTTAAGGTATCCTTACCAACAGTGCCAATCAATAGACTTGTGCAAAACTAGACTCAAGTCACACTGAGGAATAGCAGCCAACACAGCTTGCTCTTGAGTAGGGACATAAACCATAGCAGTCCTCGATTCTCTTCTTGTGGAACATGAGCATAGGCCTCTTGTAAGCTAGAGAATGAACTAAAACTCAAAATTTGAACCCAAATCTAATCATATTCATTATGAAGACCAGCAAGAAAGTCATACACCCATTCATTCTCCAACATCTGCTAAAATTAGACCTGTCAAAATTCGATACGACACGATTAACTGACACGAATTAAACGGATTTGGGTGAGACCTTGACAGGTTTGGGTGGTAAACGGGTTGACCCACCAAACACGTTTAATAAACGGATCATGTTTGGGTGAGACATGTCAACCTGTTTATCAACTATTTACCCGTTTAAATAAATTTAATATAATAATAAATTAATAATTATTTTATATATATATATAAAATAATGAATGAGTAAAGAAAACATTTCAAAAAAAATAGTAAGGAAGGGGGGCTTTGAGGCATTGAATGACATTTTCTTTGAATCCCACATCCACACTGGGGAGTGGAGAGGGGGCTTTAGTTGCCTATAAAAGAGGTAGTGGCTTCCTCCTTTTAGCTAATTTTTGTGGTGTGGCTTATCACATGGACTTTTGGTTGGAACTCCCCCAATTGAGGAAAATACAGTTAGAAGAAAAAAATAGTGTAAAAATTTGTTAAAATAATATATATATATATTTTGTTATTTTTAAATAGGTTAAACGATTCGTGTCGTGTTACCCGTTTATTAAACGTGTCGTATATGGGTTTGTATGTTTTTCACTCGTCACCTGTTTAACCCGACACTTAACCGTTTAACCCGACACGATTAGCACCCCTAGCTGAAATATTACATCATCATTAACACAATCTGCTTGAAAATTCTGGTAGTAATCAATCTTCCGCTACAAGGTCGTTAGCTCTGCATAATAACCTGCAAGGGTCTTATTTTTCTAATTAGTCTTCCAAACTTGCTTCTAAAGATCATATGTCTTTGTATCATTACCTCATTGAGAATATATATGGGTCGCAGCAGTCCAAATTTTATGATCAAGTATAAAAAACCCACAGCTGTTAGAGGGTTTCATTGAGTTAAGCAACCAAGACATAACCAAAGCATTCAAAAATGCCCACTATTTTAAGGAGATATCTGTCACTGGGCTTCTTAATCTGCACAGTCAAGTATCCATACAAAGCAATAGCTTGGATAGATAATAAACAAGCCCGTGACCAAGCCAAGTAATTACTCCCATCCGACTTCTTTGAACTAATCTAGAGAGAGGGATTGTTTGCAAGAGCATCTAAACGGCTCAACCAACTTCTTCCAGTATTTGTAGACGTCGCACTACCTTTCGACGTGTTTATAGAGTAGAATCAACCCAAAACAACAAGGGATCCCAAGAAATCACACCCAAAAATTGGATCACCAACACAATACCCAGAGGCAATAGTGGAGCAAAATAGGCTCTCTGAGGCAATTAGAAGCCAAATGCAATACTAGACAGCAAAAAACTCACTAATTATTGGCAAAAGGACCAAAAAAATTGCAAAAAATCCAACCTAAATGCACAAGGATGGCTGGGCATCACTGGTAGGCCCTAGTTGCTCCCAGTTGAGTAAATCTGGCAAAAAAAAACCCAATTGCTTTGAAACAGTAGATCTGAGAGAAAGGCTGAAATTTTCCAAAAATCTTTCAAAAAATCGGAAGACCAATTTCGACAACTTTAAGGCATTAGATTTGATCGCTACTCCAATACCAAGTTAGATTGTAGAGCTGTTAGGGTTTTGTATACTAGAAGAAGAGAGAAAGAGAAGAATATGGGAGGGAAATAATGTGTTAGGTTCCACAACTATACTCAACTTGTTTATAAATAATCACAATCAAAAAGTACTAAATACCATTTAACTAAAAATAGCACATAACACAACAAAAATTAACAAATTGGACCGTAGTAGGAGCTAAAGTTGAATAAAAATATCTCCCACCATATTTACCATACAAGCAAATTTAACTTCTTGTGTGGGCCAATATATATCAAGCATGCTAGGAAAGATGACAGACTTGGAGCGAGCAATGTGAGCCCAGTTTAATATAATCAATTAACAGTAACAAAATCATGATTTTTGTCAAGGTACGACAGTAGGAAAAGTATGTCTGCTTCATGCTTCATGTAAAACTCTTCTGTGGACCCAAAGCCAGAAAAAGGAGAATTGCATTATATAGCAAAAAGAGCATAAACCTTCCGTGTGCATGAATATGAACCAAAAATTATCGCAAATCCTAAGCCATTCCTTCCAATGTATTTTGCCTGAATGCAACTACTGCAAGTTATGGGAAAAAGAGTCGAGGCATTCCTCTAAAGCTACTCTTTGCATTCGTTCTCTTTAGTTTTTGAGCATTTTTTCTGTTATTTATTTTGTTGGGGTGGGTGGGTAAATTCAGCCAGTTTTTGGTAAAAGTGAGTACAAAGAATTATGGCCAAAGTGTAGACTTTGATTCGTGTCTCCAGTCACAAGCACATTGATAAAAGCCATAGGGGTGATATCAATAGATGCAATGCTCACCCCGTTTAGACACAGAGAGAATACAAAAGAGGCAGAAGCAAACTTTTGCTGTCCGACACTGTGTGCCATGTGTGGATAAAACTTTCTTGCTACCTTCCACCGAGCATTCACCTACTAAAGAATGCAAATGCATTCCATTATGACTTTATGAAAAATGGTTCAACTGCTTTGATCTCACATAAATCAAGCAGCAATTAAATCACATCAATAGAAAGCGACCCAACATAGGAATGGAACTATCGTGATAAATTAGCCTCGGAGGCTGCAATCATATCAATAGGAAAAATATGGATCTACCTATACCATTGGAGGTATGAGTCCCTCTTTTTGGGCTATTTTTGGGAATTGGGACATCCTTTTATGAGAAATGGGGCATACTTAACTGACTATTAGCTATTATTTTTTTCATTTTCTCCAATGCTTTGGTACTCTTTAACAATCCATCTGCCTCTGGATATCTCCCACTCTTTCCACAATAAAATTCTCATTTCATATCCCAAAAACAGTAACATTTCAAATTACTAACGACACTGACCAAAGATACAAATAACACCGAGTAATTAAGAGGATAACGTGCATCACCGAAACTGTAAACACATTACAGAACAAAATACAACAAGTAAAATCTCCCGAACACAAACAAGAAGATAAATTACAAATATAAACTAAATTTTAACACGATAAAAATGGCGGATAAAGGGAATTGCCAGATATATGAATCACTTTAATGAGAAACTATGAACAATTATGCTTTCATAAGAATAAAAAATGACAACTACTGCCACAGCTTACTTTTTTGGCAGGGGGGTTGTCATCGGATTTATAGGTCCAATCAATTCCCATAAGTGCAGCCTTCTCAAGGGGATCACCAACCTACAAGCATTGATGAGATTAATACTAAGTATAGCATCTGGCAGATCAGCACCAAAAAGTCCTGACCAACAAGATTTGAATCATTCTGCTCTAAGATGTTCAATAAATATTACGGGTGGAACTGGTGCGGGTTGTGCAGATGATAGCTCAACCCAAGCTCAACACAAATTATAAAGCACTCAACCCGGGACTAAACCAAAACCGACCTTCAACCTGAACTCCTCGCGACTATTGCCCAGGTCTAAGAATTCGGACAACATAAATTGGGCTGAACCCTTCAACTTATCATCCCTTCAAGTAGCAATTGATACTGACCAGTAAACACAGGCACTATGAAAATCGAAACTAACATATACCATTTACTTGGAAATTGAAAACAAAGAGCAACAAAATTACAAAACTACTACTATGAGGATTTAAATCTATAGTGCTAAGCATTACACGCAATCCCACAAGACCGAGTTGGCAGAATCTGGGGAAACAAACAATGAGAAGGCCATAATCGTTAGAATCGAGCATCAGTCTCCATATTCAACTCTTGAAAATAACCCAAATTGTACGCACAATACAGAACACCCAAGGCAAGAGTTGCAAGGGCAGGGAGCTGCATCATGAGAGAAAGAGAGTGTGCTTGTGATGTGAAGCCCTAATGGCGGGTGAGAGAGGAGGCTGCTTGAGAATTGAGTAGAGATAACCTAATCTGACCTCTCTCTTACACAAAGTAAAATAGAAAAGGGTTGAACCCAACCCCAACCACGACGCTACCAACCTGAGTATTAAAAATTGATAACCCCTGCCCAAGTGCTGAACATTTCGGTTTGGGTTTTGGTTAGCTCGCACGAGTTGCACCCCTAATAAACACATGGAAAGGCCTTTAGAATGCATCATTGAGTTGCCATGTCATACCTAAAACGCACAGAATAGACTCATTTGGTTATGATTTATGAAAGGTAAATAAAATATAAAACCCAGCAACAAATCAACAAAAGCTACACTCGATGTACGAGAAATGTCTCTTGAAAGTCTAACTTTTTTAAAGGCATATCCATCCATATATTTCTTGCATACATCATCTAGGTCTCATCAATGGTTTAAGGTCGTGGTATCGGTCATAGACTCAAAGGGAACTAAGACACATCGATCTCGACGTCGTAGCGCATTATCGGCTGATGTGCTCAAGACACTAGATAGAAAGCACATAAAAATTTTGAAAAAATCATGAAAATTCTAAAAAATATAAATATTATCATCCATGCAACATATCCCAAAATTATATTACTTAACACATTAAACATAGGTGAAAATAAATTGTGAAGGTGCTATTGGTAATGTTATTAAATCTATTTTGAACATACTAGTATTTAATTTTAAATATTTTTAAATAAAAAGAAATTAAAGATATATCAATAAATTATAATTTGATAAATACATTAGATCCCAAATATAAATATTATATGAACGTAAATATAGTTCAATTCAATCTTTAATTTTACAAATTTATGAGAAAATACAAAAAAAATTTGTCCATTTGATGCATACCCAATTACATATCAACATGCATGGGTAATTGTTATATCTTCAATTCCATATTAAAAAAAACTTAATAAAGGTAATAATTAATGAATTTAATTGTAAAGTAAATAATGAACAAAAGCAAAACAAACAAACAAAAAAGGCAATAAAAAGGTGGCTAGTCACTGTTCTAGGGTTTTGGTCTGCTGGGAGGGAGGGGGAACCAATCTGCCAAAGTTGACGGAACCAAACACTAAGAGAGAGAGAGAGATCTGAGAGACAAGTGAGAACAAACGTATTCCTAATTGGAATTCGCGGATCTTTTTGAATTGATTCTTTTATTCTATTGTTATATTTTTTACATCGTTGAATGGGCCCATTTGAAAACAACTAGATGATGACAAAATTATTAAGGATTGAAATTCCTTATTTCTATTCCATAATGTATGAATAGTTCCTCGACTTTGGTTAAGGGATTCTTGAATGCTCGACGATAACTCCAAAGATGGTCGACGACGATCTCAAAGATGATTGACGATGCTTTGATCTGCTTCAAGGGTTTCTACATACTTGGATCTGCGATCAACAAGGTTCAGATCTCCGCTACAAAGAAGAAGGGGATATTAGATTTACAGGTTTATGTTAGAAATTTTTTCTATCATTTGTTCCGCTTGTGTAATGGCAAAGAAGGTCTATTTCTCAATTGATTTTTGAACGAGATGAAGCCGAGTTGTACTGAATCAGAACCAATACTTGTTGGACTTGTGCCTTTTTTTGTACCAGGTATCGGTTCGTATTTGTGGTGGCCAAGTCATATCGGACTCAGCCGATAATTTGAACCAATGGCCTCATCCCAATGTGATGCTATTTGAAGAAGTCTAGTTCTTCAAAAGGTGGAGATATGAAAAGGATTTGATGAAGCTTGGTTGAAGGTTAGGGATTAGAAATTTGTTCTAGTTTTATTCTATAATTCATGACCAATTGGGTTTATTATCAATTTAGCAATTTAAATATTACACTTATATGACTATTTTTGGTAACTATTAATTAAGATATTTTAGGGGTATCCATAATTAATGGATTTGCTAGAGCAGACTTGAATATTGAATTGTTACGAATTTGATGTCGTTTATTATTTTTCTTCTCTTTTTTAGTTCTCACTCATTAATTTTCTATCCTTTTGAATCTATCCAATCTTCTTCCTCTTGTCTTGTGTCAAGTTGTCTTTTTTTTTATTGCAGCCTTACCACAGGATGACAGAACTTTGGTGTACAAAAGGGAGGGGGTTTATTTCAACTCCTAAGATGGATAAGTCCTCTATGTGAATGCAGTGAAAACTTAGCTCTAATGATGCACGGGCCTATGAGATAATTTGCATTGTTATGAAATGAGAAATTGAAGGACATAGGGGCAGAGTGGCTGAGGGCAGGTTGTGGCGCACCCATAAAGGTTGCTTTATTGTGACCTTGACATTGTTTTGAGGCGCGGAATCTGACTCACTGCATGGAGGGCTAAAACTACATACATCTGACCCTCCCCAAACCCTAAATGGTAGGATCTCGTGCACAATGCTGCCATTATTTATGAGTATATATTCAAAAACTGCCCAAAATCATCCAAAGCCTCCAACTCAGATACATTTCCCAAGCATTCCACAGGGAGTGCACACACCCTGCTAGCAACCACGTGTCTCAAGAGGAAGGGTTGTGGTGATTTTCAGGGGTGGTGGAATTTATAATTTGTGCATCAAAAGAATGGCATGATATACCAAATACGGATTGGTTTCAAACATGGTAGGCTCTTCACAGTTCCAAAAATTGCATTCATACCAGCTTGTTGTCCACAAAAACCAAGGCATGACAAGAAGCAAGGATTTCCACAGTACGGGCCTGCAGTTTAGTCATATCTGTCTCTAAATCTACACTCGTCAACCCACCAACTCCAGAGAACTCCTGGAAATTGAAAACACAAATAAATTACAACAAAAGAACCTCAACCAATCAGTTAATACTAATATTATACTTACAATCACCACAGCATGTCATCAGAAGTCAACGTCCCCGTCTTTGTCAAAACAGCATATATCAACCTGCAGAAGAAAATAGAAAAAGAAGTCAAACAAGAAGTCATACAGAATGTAAAATATATTGCCACAAAAACACTAATGTCTACAAAGCTGAAAAAGATTTGATGCAAAAAAGAATAGACCCTGAAGGAAGATGAATATAATACCCTGAACCTATGTGTCATCGTAGCACTCTTGGCCAGGAAATTAGCCTTTGAGTAAGCAGACACTTTGTACGTACATATATGAAAGCTGCTGCGCCTATCGATTTATTAAACAAATCAAGAAATACTAGTGTAGAGTGGAAGGCTAAAGACAGGTGAAGTATACACATTATAAAAGTAGATATGATGACGAAAATTGAAGAGAAGATGATAAAAAGCTTCATATCTCCTATTTTTATAATAACCTAGAGGCTACAACTATCAACAATATCATGGTGCCATCCAACCCCTCCATGTTAGATTCATTCAACAACAAGAGAGATCAGAAAATGAACGATATTTGGACGATTATGCTACAGTAGCAATAGCATGACAACCAAAGCCCAATATGAACCTCTGTGAAACTTCCATAACTCACCTTCCCAGCAAACGGAATTCGGAAAGGTTCTGTACAGAATATCCCGCGTTGTGCCAGTGCAATCAAAGATGTATTAACAGAAATTGATAACTCCATTGGCAGCTCAGGAGGGATCACAGAAGTAATAATCAATGAACGACTCAGGAGAAGCTTGTATTTACTCCTTGTTGGGTCCTCAAGCCCCTGCACCAAAGCCAGTCGCATCACCATGTAGAAGTTCAGTTAAAAACATATGCCACAAGCACTATGAAATGAAAATAGGAATTATTGATACTGAATCATATGTACAGGAAGTATTTATTCACCTTTTTAAGTACATAACCAGCAGCTATTACTGCAAATATTACTAAAAACAAAATAAAGAGCCCACTTTCCCAGCTGTTAGCAGTAACCTACACCAAACACATTGAGAGTAACTACACAAAAGTGAGGACAAATAAAGTAGGGAAAAAATGACATTGTAAAACCGATAAATCACCAACAGATAACCGAAAGGTATTTACCCTCTCCGTAGAAAATATTATTGTCCGCATCAATTTTCCTTGGCTTGTCTCAAACCCAGTTCGTAGAACAACAGCCAAGCAGCCACCGTCGGGTGTTTTTATAGGAAAAGTCTGAATCCGGGAAGAAAATAGAAAAAGGGAGCATAAAGTGAAGATTTATGACATTAACACAGATATGGAAAAAAAAAAAAAAAACCTTGCTAATGACCTTATCTGGTTTATGCTGCAATATCTTTGTGCCACCAAAAAGAACATGGCTTTTATCTCGTCTAATGGATAACTTTTCTTCATTTCCTCTACCCATGATTGAAACCTAGAAAAGTAGTTGCATTTTTTAAATAGATACAAACCAGATGATAAAACCAAATTAAAGTATAAACGGCAAATGAATAATGCCAACTCGCTTGAATAGTTCCATGCAAACTGCAAAGATGCAGCTCTGCTCGAACAATGAATTCTGCGACTTGCTTTACTAACTTATTTGGTAGGCAGGAACCACCACAATTGCCATCAAACTACGTAAGATATATACGTATACCATAACTCTTACCCCACGCACCCAAATCCATATATATGTAAAGATATACTGATAAGTAACTCATATATATCCATACACACACACATTTGCATTCAGAAGACAATAGTTTTATCTTTTCAACACAACTCCCAAGTGAAAAAGCAAACAATAAATTGCAATAAACTATTGACTATCACAAACAGAACAAGAGCAAAAGGAAACACTAATGGCACTGGTGCAAGGAAATTAATTGTAGCCAAGAGTTGCAAATTTACTAGAGTTCTGCAGAAAGAATAATTGGTAGAGACACAAGAAGAAAAGAGTGAGCTCTAACCACAGGTACTAAATTGCAGATATAGATAGAGTGCCCGGAGAAAGAGAGAGAGAGAGGAAGAGAAAGGGGGGGGAGAAGTGGCCAGACTGCTTGGGCCAGAATCTACTTACTTGGCTGCGCTTTATTCAGAATTCTTACACCTTTTCGGCCCACCTATCAAAATTGTTGGCAGTGTGTTTCATGTTACATCGTAATACCACAGAATCAAGTGCAGAATTGTGTTTTAAACCTTACATGCCCACCAATAATCTAATCAGAATTGTGCTTTCCTATTCTGAGCACGTGCCCAAATCTTCGTCACTTTGGGTTCATATAGTGGCCAAAGTATTGATTCATAGAAGTAACTCATCACCACAAACTAGACCTAACTAGCATTGAGAGTATCAGATTCAAAGTTGTACAAGTTAATTACGAAAATAAAGTAGGGTGTGCATGGAAAAGATTCACCTTCCATTGGGGAGTAGACTCGCCTGTGAGAATGGCTTCATTCACAATTGCACTTCCAGCCAATATAAGCATGTCTGCAGGAACAGACTTATCTTCCCCATTCTGACCAGTAGAACGGCCAATAGACACAATGCCCCCAAGCAGAAGATCTGTCCCCGGAGTTTCACCCACCTATAGTACCCAATTTCTACAGTCGGTGCATAAAATCTGCAAACAGCTGTAAACCAAAAACATTGAAATAAAAAGAAAAAGAAGTATAAATGAATGGTAGTAATCCTTGAGATGACTTACTTCCCACAACGATACACCATTAAAATCTGGCTATCCACTTTTACACGTCTAAGCTCAGTTAGAGTCTTTATCTGGCTTTTTGCCATTGTTGACTCAAACATAAACAGCATAAAGGGTGAACAGGCTGTAATACCAATATTCATCTAGACACCATAGTCCCACACAAAATACCTACATACACTGTGCAGCATCAGAAAAGGTAGGAATATCATAAACAACTGAATTAAAATATAATGAAAATGTTATAGAGAATTTCAATTGGTGACCCAAAAACATAACTATCTTCGGGCCAAAATAAAGAACTACTGTGAATTACAACCAACCTGAAACACAAAGAAGGGCTCCATGCAGTGCTCTTTCATTAATTTCTGGAATGTGGGCTGAGGATACTCAAAACTACATGGAAAGGAAAATCCACACAAGGAGCAGAAGGGAAGCATTTAAGACAAAAAGACGCTTGGAAATACCAGAATTTCACCAAAAAATACCAGAAATTTAACAAAGATATAGATCCAATAAGCTAACGTGTAAAGAATCATCCCCAGTTTAGTCCTCATTAATGGTTGATGTAGACCTGACATCTGGCATTATTTACACAAAGTGGCTACTCTTAGGTTCAAACTTGCATCCTCTAGAAAACAAATAAGCATTTCAAATTTGATGGGATAGATGTAAATGTCAAAGCAGTGCTCAACCACACACCAGGAGGCAGTTAGAACATGCATCTCGTGACATGTAATTCCTTGAATTAGATATGTTTTTCAAAAAAGTACCGGAATTATGGAAAATGATTGGGAACCCAACGAAATGGAATTTAAACAAGGCCCTCCTTTCCAGAAACTACACAGGCCATATGCCCTGCCATATTTAGATGAAGCATTACCTTTTATACAGATCAAGAGAGCCATCCAACAATGACAGGTACACAAAATACACCTACAATTTTCCTTTTTTTGTTGTGTTTTTTTTTTTGGAAACAATTACCCATATTCAGCAATTACGAACATCAAAAATAAAGATAGGGAAACAGGAAACTCACACATTCCGTCCCCATTTCTCAATAGCATTAGAGATTTTAGCATCAGTTCCATGGCCTGTACTTTTGAGATAGTAGCCAAATGTTTCCTTGGTAGGGTAAGAAAGCTTATAAAAGGTTTCCTTCTCCTTTAAATAGATGAACTGTTGCTTTTTAAAGTCAAAATAGATTTCTTCGATATCCACCGGGGATGAAGAACCTGCCAGCTGCGTGGGAAAAGATAAAGTCATCAAGTGGTCAATAGAATTGACCAGAAGTTGATAATGTATATTGTTTGTGTGTGTGTTCAGGAGAGGGGAGGGGAGTTGGTGAAATTGACTTGCATTTGGAGACATTTGCATAGCAAATTCAGAGGAAATGTGACCACATTTTCTACCAAGTGTAACAAAGGTAGGCTATTTGTTTGAGAAATCAACAATATTCGTTTAGACTTTGGCAATGAAAAGTACCCGAGAAGTAACAAAGTTTCAACCACATTTAACAACAAGAAGAATTTTTCAAAATGCCCTTGGATCCTAAAATGTAAGAAAACACACATGCTCCATCCCAAAACGAGTGTCCAATTTAACTTAGAATATTATTTTAATGAAACCCAATATATGCATTCACACCTTGGAATAGTATTCCCCTTTCACACTATTCCTTGCAATCATGGTTGAAAGTCATGATATCAGCCTCCAACTCGAAGGATTCTAAAACAAATCGATCGCAGTGTCACGAAACAATATCGGGCGATACAACATGGTGAGAAATTCAAGTTATATCATAGTATTGTGGAACGACATTGACTAATTCTGTGACTATAGCTCTATGAATTGGGGCTGACTCAGAGACATCTTGGATGACCTGGCCGAGTCATGTAAGACTTCGAGTTTTTACATAACGTGAAGCGGCCTCGTCTCGAAAGGTGCCAACTCATATCGGTATCGGTCAATACTTTAAACCTTGCTTGCAATTAACCTTTTCACAAAGATCATAGTACCAAACCTAATGATAATTATTCCTTGACTTTTCAAAATGGGAATACCTTAAAAACATCAAGAAAAGGAAAAATGGACTTTTTAAGCAAATGAGGGAGTAAAACTGACCAATTTAAAGGTCGATTTTGCGAAGGCTCCAAGTAGATCCTTTTTTAGATGAACCAATTTTCTCAATTTCTACTAGCTTTAAATAGTTGCCTTTTTCATAGTCTGTTGTAGAGGGAGGTTGATAGCTTTATCGGTTAAGCAACAACACCACTTTATTAAAACTAAAAAGTTAAAACTACAAACACCAAGTCGACACTATTGACTAATTATTACTATTAATACCTTTCAATTGCTCTCCAACTTTAGCCAACTTTGTTGCTAACAAAATACTAAAGGAGGAAAACCTTAAGTACTCTAGTGGTTCTATATGAACTAATTATTATTAAGACACTATGACCCATGCTACACTTGGGTGATTCTTGAAATCAATGTCATATACCCTTCTACAATATCCAAAAGAATTATAAATTTTTTGTTTAATTTAACAATTACCATTGAGAGAAAGAGTTCTTTAAAGATGATCTAAAGTTCAGTACTATGTTAGTTTGGCAGTAGTACAACTTCTTTATGACAGATTAATTGTGGTAGAAAGGTTTATGTAAACCGAGCACTTACAGGACACAGTTTGTAGACTATATTGCTTTTTTGTTTTCTTTGGACACCATATCAGACAATACAAGGGATGGAGGTGAGAAGAGCAATCTGATAGAGAGCTGTAGGAACTCTTAGAAGAAGGAAAGAATAAGAAAAATCTAGACTCTACTAGAGGTCTAGAATCTATGAGGAGAAAAAAGAGATAAGGAAAGAGAGATCCCAGAGAGAAAGAACAGAGAAAGAGAGAAGGAGAGATAAAGAGCCTCTGGCTTATTGAAAAACCTAGAAATTTCACATCTTTGAGGTTTCCGCTCGGGTAACTCTGAAGACCTTTTACATCATCTTCGAACCCTAAAAATTTGTCGTAAGTACAAAAATGACTCCATAACTCATTAAAGTAACATACGACGCCTTAAAACTCACAAGCTTATTTGTAAAACTACAATAAGGCTCTAATCCGAGAAACCACATCACATCAATCCCCTTTTGTTGGTGAAATCTCGTTCTCAAGTGTCTCCAGAGACACATAAACATAAAGTCACCTATATTCTAGTGTTGTCTCTTTTTTCTTTACACAGAAAACTCATTTCTACAACCCCAAAACTTTAAAAAGGAACATAAAGAAAGAGGAAAAAAAATAAAATTCCTATTAAAGTAAGAAAACATCTACAATGTTTACACATAACATGCCAATGAGATGGAAAACAAACATTAGGTTCCTCACTTGAATAAAATTGTTAGGCTTTTTAGGGTGTTAAGTGAATGATCCACATATATTAAATCAAGCATTGAGTCAAGATGTCCATCTTGGGTTGAAGACTGAAGCCAAGTTGCGAAAATGGTTTTTGACTCTACATTGGGGTATCCAACTGGTTAGGTATGGTCAGTGGACCTAAGGACATCTTAAAACGACTTTAATTATGTTAAAATTAGACTTCGACTTCGATTGATGTTTTCGAAACATGTATGGAGTCTAGATGAATATATTTCCTTATTGCTCAAACGGGTGTTTGTATTAGGTTTTAGAGGGTAAAAGCGCAGACTACCTAATGTTGATTGAGAAGAGAAAGAAATTAAGAGATTAGAACAGAATAAGAAAAGAATGAGAAACAAAAGGGGATGCAAAATAATAAGGGGATGAGAAGAGAATGAAATTAGGGCAAAATAAACAAATGTCCTCAATATTCAGTAAATTCAAGTCTTCCTAAAAATAATAACATCAGCCCCTTCATACAAGGAACTCAAAAACCCTAAAGTCAAAGATTCCTAATCAAACTTACCCCTAAAAGATAAAAACAATATAATATCTAAATAAATAAAATCTCAAATTAAATCTACATAATTTATCCTATTCTAACACAATCCCCATCATTCTTCCATGGTTTGAGAACAAATTTCCTCCAAAAAGTCATCAATGCTAAATCAAAAACTGTCCATCGAGCTTGATATTAGTGACCATGTCTATCTGAAACACTAAAAATTGGTCCTATGGCACAATATCTATCTTGCCAGAAATATTGGAGAGATAATGATGAGCCAGAAGCAATTCCACCTTCGTATCTCTTCGAAGGCGAGTTTTTTTCAACTAGGAAGAAATGATGGGAATCCTAATCCAATTATCTTTTGCTAGAGTAGTTGTAAACATAGGTTTTAAAGAAATTTTGAATAATGTATCTAGGGATATTAGATGAAGACCTATTTTAATTTTTAGATTTATTAGTTGATAGATGTTAGGAATATTAGTGTCATATTAAGACTCTAAGACTACTTATTTAGTTGTCATTATAAAAGGGGATGGATGAAAAGATTGTATTAGACTATGATTATTGAATAAAATTATGATTTTTTTCTTCTTCTCTCCTCATCCCTATTTCTTCTATTCTAATCTCCATTTGTTTTCCCAATCTACATCACTACCACTCTAAATAACACTCATGAAACTCTGTCGTAGTGCACAAGCGATCTATGCCAAATTGGTATGTAGAGCTTGGTTAGAAGTCAATACTCGCCTCAAGGCCGAGCAGTCCGTCGCAATTTTCCAAACTTTGTTACCAAAGCAGACTTAACCCTTTTCCAATTTAAAGAGGAAAGACTATACACAACTAGGCAAGGTTAAAACACACCGAAACATGTGACATAGAGTTCATATATTCTAGAGAGCCAAAACCCAACCTTTCAAGAGCTTAAGGCAACACTACAGGGTAATTTAGGTACACAACTTGAGAGAGTCAATACTAAAAGCAATGAAACTCAACCCGTGGAGCTTGAGGTGTTGTAAGCCTTTTGAGTCTTGTAACAAGGTTGAGTTGTTTTTGTGGATTTAGGATGGACAGGTCCCGTTGCTTTTTTTTTTTTTTTTTGAGTTTCCATATAAACAAATCATGTGTCTTATGTTGTGAGATTGCTTTACATACTTACATGCAAAACATGATTGTCTAGGCGTCAAGACAATTGTTCGTTTCGATTCCCTTCACGCATTAAATAACACTGAGTAGTTGGATGCATTAAATAAAGGTGGGTGGAAGTGGTCGAAAGCCCTATATAAAGAGTCCCTGTGTAACTATTTGAATCATCCAAGTTTGAATATCAATATATTTTGAGAGTCCTTCTCTTGTTTTCTATGTGGATTCAGAATGTTTATGTTTTTTGCACTTGAAACGGTGATTTCGTTGTGTCTTTTCGTTCGCTACTGCATTATTAGCACTATCTTCAACACAGTCTACTTGAAAATCTTGGTAATAATCTAACTCCCGCCACAGACTACTCAGTCCTATGTACAACCCTGCTATAGTCATCCCTCTATTTGATTTCATGAATCTTCTTCTAAAGTTCAAAGATTTGGACATCATTCACAACTTCGTATCCCGCTAGCCAATGAGAGGAAATAGAAGAACTAACAAAGGCAAGGGAGGAGAACTAAATGGAATAAAGGAATTCGTGTGTACTACTGATAGTGACTGCACTGCACTAGGCGGGGGAAGAGAACTAATTAAAGAAAGCCCTTTGAAAGCACATCTATAGCTTGACCCAAGTAAAGTAAACCTAAAGAGCCCAAGCGATATAGGCGGCGATTGAGAAGCATTTCCACACTTGAGTGATAGATCAATTAGAGCCCTTGCTTGTCCAGAACTCCACCTCTTTAAATTCTCAATGTAGAAGCTACATAATTGGTTCTCATCCTTCAGATGATTACGAGTGTAATAGGATCACCCTAAGATGATCATTTCATGGCTATTGAGAACAAATCAAATCAGATGATTCTATTTCTCAATCTTTCTGACTTGCTCCTACGGGACCAATTCCTACTTCAATTGGCAGAAATACCGTATAGTGAGCTACAACAATGGTTAAAGAGCCTACATAGCTAGATTAAGAGATAATTGAGCATACCATGACGTTGTTAGGATCTCATACATGCCTTTATGGCCCTGACCAGTAAATGAACCTTTATGAGCTTCTAAAATCTCTTTAGGCCATGACCAATACCCCAGTTGGTTCTATACATGTGACCTGCTATCAGAAAAAGAATTGCAACAGCTAAATGCCGGAACGCGAGTAAGTGACCTAATAAAAAAATAAGTAAGGCCAGTGAGACTGAATCGAGTAGATTGTGCTAGAATCAGCTCTTGGGAAAGCAATTGAATCCGCCATTGATGCAAAATAAGCTAGGCGAAGGGATTCAGAAGACTGAGTCCAGCGACTAAAGCGACTACCATACATCGAGGTGGAAGCTGCACTAGTGGACGGAGAGGGAACTAAAGCCTGAACTGGATGTGGAAACGAAACTGTACACAAAGCAAAATCACCCTATTTTATAAGGCCTTTCCCTCTTGGATTGAGCATAGCCCTGTAAACCCTCTAAAGAGGAAGAGAGTGTAATGCAATACAATTGTAGCTTTTTCATTATTATATCCTTGAGGACTACAATTCCTTAAAAGAATTGCGAGCGCTGGGCTTTTCGTGATATAAAAACTCTCCTATCTGTTCCCCTCTGTGGGTTAGGGGGCTTTCAGTCTTTTGGTTAAGCTGTAAGTAGTACTTATAGTCAATGTCTCTAATCTGGATGAGTGGAACGAAGGGATAAAAACCTGCTTTAGAGGGAATAGAGGTGAAATGGCGCTTTGAAGACTAATAGAACTAATGCGAGCAAAGGTTCGGATTCACTAGCCTTTGGGCTAAGTTAAGACTTCTTCCCTCTTGGCTTACTAGCCAAGTCCACTAGCAACGGAGTCTTGCTAACAAAAAGCTTAGAGCAAGCATTTCTTCCGCTTGATCAAGGCTATTTGAGCTAGTTTTTGAAGTGAAATATGATCTCTTAATTAGCCTAAAGGGCCGAGGGCCTAGCGCCTGGCCCTAAGATCTTTCTTTTCTCTTACTAGTGCCAAGCAAAAGGCCAAGAGCAGTTTCTTCTGTAACAACAAAAACGAAGGCCGGCTATTTTTTTTGTTCAATGAGAAAGCATTCGTTCATAGTCGCTAAGAGGAATTCAATGAACAAATAAGGCCAGAGAATAACAGATGGAGAGAAAGAATGACTGTAGTTAAATGGATATGAGGCTGCCCTTTCCCTTGAGATTGGGAGGGAAGTTCCATCTCATCTCCCTAGTTCAGTGCAGTCTTATGAGCCCCATTCCTTCCTCTTTCACTTTATAGGTTTGGTTCTTCGCTCAATTCCAACGAAGTCATGGTCTCAAGTTCGTCCTAAGTAATACCCCATGAATCAGCAAAGGCTTGTTTTGGACCAAGCTACTAGATTAATACTGCCAACTTCTTTTGGGATGATTGCCAACTTGCTATTTGAGTAAGGGATGAATATCGGACCTTACTGACATTCAACCGACGATCGGGCCTAGTGGTGCGTGTGGCCTATCCTCTGTCGGCTTGGATTGAAAATATTGGACTGGAAAGGAAAATTGTCCAGTCTTTCAAGCCCTACTAAATAAAAGGGGTGTGTTGTTGGCTGCTTTAACCCCACTTCTGCTCAACATCGATCCTCTTACATACTTTCTCAAGTGACGGAACACTAAATGTCCAAGCAATTACATGTTGATTTCATATTGCTCCAGTAGAGCCAACAACCATTCAGTGAATTGTCTTGTGTAACTGCCTTTCAAGACGTTCACTGAATCCTTCACGATGTTTTGGTGCAGGTACTAGTACATTGAAGCCGTAAAAGCCACTGAACCCCAAATCCATTACAAAGGACCATTCGCCTAGGTCAGGCGACTCGAAAGGACTAGACATAAACCACTCGCTAAAGCAAACAATAAATAAGACAAGCGATCAAGCCGGCAAGTAAGGGATAGAGGATGGATTTGTTTAGGGTGTGTGAACTTCCTTATATATTCAGCCACATGTTGCAAGCGGGTGTAAAAAGATTTTTTGGCCTCGGTCATTCTTCTATGAAATATCGATTCTATCAATCATTCCATTTTAGAATCAAGTCTCCTTGGACTCGAGCAAGAGAAGAAGATGAAGAAGAGGGGCTCCAAGAATTCATATCTCCCTTCCCTACATATCCTTTTTTCCTAGAGCTTGTGTTTAAAAGTCATGGTTTTGTTTTGTTAGGATTTCCATATTTGCCTCCCTTCCTTTGACTTGGGATCTGGTTCAAAGGGAGTAAGAAGCTTTTTTCTATTAGGACCGTCCACTAGGAGCCGACGGGCTCTAGCATAGGAGAGGATTGACATGTCCAATACAAGGAATAAGAGTTTTGAGTAGAGCTTTCTAATGGAACTTGGCTAAGGGAGTGACTTGTAGGCGTAACAAGACTCCACTGAATACAAACGCAATCCATAATTCAATCCTTGACCCATTTTCTTCATCCCCAACTAGCACAGTTACAAAGTTTCTTCGCCCTTCTTGACTCCCTTAACAAGCTGCAAGGCGGATAAAATGGGTACACTAGTCTTCACATTAACAGTTGGGATCATGCATGGTGTTCCTTCATCCATGATGCCTAAGGTGCCCAAGTATGGCATAGGGATGGCTTTGGTTGGTTTCAAGAACTCTATCTCTAAGATGACCTTAAAATCGTCTAGGGGCACAACAGTGAAATTAGTCGTCCCCTTCCATCCTCTTATTTGTAGTTCCACTTGGTAAACTAGAGCTATGGGGCGTGAGGTACGATTGAATATGCATTAGAAAGGTCAAAAAAAACCAGGCCGAACTTCTAACAACCCACCCACTTCCATAAAACAATATTGTGGCAACGTAGACCTAAGTGGTCATATTGGATCCTTGGGAACAATCACAAGTACGGCCGGTCTATATTTGAACGATAATGCCGTGTCGTCCAGTAGAGCCTAGAAAAAAGTGACACGCGCAGACAACTAACTCCTTTTCAATAGAAAAGAATAACCAAATCAAGCCAGCCGACTGGTTAATCTCGGAGATCTTATTGGCCAGCAAACCAGAGACAAACGACCACGGTCCCGACCTTATCGGGTAAGAAAGTAGAACCTCACCTCTTTTTGTTGCTGAAAACAAAACCCAATTTTAGATCCACTAGAACATGTAGATATACTAGACTACAAACAAGAAGTTGGTAGTAACAAAACAACCTCTAAACCACTAGAGACAATAACCTGTCTCCTCTGGTCAATCTCATCCCGCATAAGAGGATTTTGATTTAAGCCCGTACTATACCCTAAAGCAAAAGCAAAAGAAAATGTCAAACTCAAATAAAAAGTGGAGTGAAAGCACCTGCATTATGTTTACGCGTGTTGGCTTCAATGAAAAGCCAAAGAAAAAGTTTTGCGTGTGCCTGCTTTAGTAAGGAAAAAGCTTGAAAAGCGTACTTGCTTTAACAACGCAGACGTTCCTTCAGCGGTTCAACTTTAGGTCTCGGTTCAGATGTTGGCTCAAGTACCGGTGAAAGTACCTTAACCTAAACGTCTCGCTTGACTAAGGGTGTGAGTTCTTACTTTAGGCTTTCAATATTTAGCTTTAACAACTTTCACTAGCACTTGGCTAGTTACCGAAACCCAACAAGATTCTCTGCACTTGGGATTAAAAGGGCTTCTTAAAAGTAGCTAGAAGTTCAAAGCTAAGAAGGTGAGTACTTGACACAAGTTTACTGAGCGCATCGCCTTCCCTAGAGTGAGCAAAAGCAGAGTTTACTACACGAGCCTAAATACAAGTTTCCTTAGTTTACTTAACTAAGAAAAATGGCAGGATTTACTTTATAAACTAAGCTCGCAGGATCTAAAGTGGAGTCTCGCTACAAATGGAAAGTCCAATGGAGAAAGTCTCGCTCGCTTAGACTGGAGCGATATATGCAGGACTTGTCTTATTATCTTTTCACATTTCTAACTCCTGCCCAAGGTGCGATCATGACAGGACTCAAGGAAGAAGCCCCAGCAAACTCCGTGCCAGCAGTAGCGATAAGACTTGCGCGGGAGGGAGTGTTCTTTGGAATGACCGAGCATAAATGCCAAATAGGAAGGTGAATCAGGTTTAAAGTGAAAGTCGCCAAAAACTGGCAAAATGCTCTCGAAACCAATTCACTTGAGTGAGACAAAGGGGAGTGGAATTTTGTGTGTAAGGGTGATATTCAGAAATCTACAAAGGAATGCCAAAAGCGCAGGCAACTCTCTAAGTCCCTACCAACGCTGGGGTGCGAACACATTGGAAACGAACAGGCTAGATACCCTAGTAGTCCATGCGGAAAACGATGAGTCTTCACCCATAGTCTACGTGAATCAGGGCCCAGCTAACGCGTGAAACACTCTGCTAGAGAGTACGGTCGCAAGACCGAAACTTAAAGGAATTGACAGGCCCAGCACAATCGATGGAACATATGGTTTAATTCGATACAATGTGCAAAACCTTACCAAACCTTGACATATGAACAACTGGCTTTTCGGAATAGAAGATGAAACCCACTTTATCCATATGAGAAACATGCGCTCAAAAAGGCCTCCCAGCCCCCGCCAAGTGATCGAGTTTAGTCTGAATTTACTGTAGAAGTTTCTCCCGCTCCAAATTGGCTTCAAGGAAAGAATGAATGTAGTATTGGACAAGCTCTCAAGGAAGACTCTCTTTCTTATTTGTGCCTTTCCTTCCCATGACGACTAGGGACGGACAAATCCAAAATTTCACTTCGAATTATGGATCTCATATGGGATCACTCCAACGCGGCACGAAGCCACTGATGCCGAGTCGGCTCTTATGCCGCTAGCTATGCCCTGCTTGGTCCCCCGGCACGATGGAAATTCTGTAGCGCGTTATGAGCACCGGACTAAGGGGCAGCTGAGCAACTTAAGCGAACCGCCCTACCTCTCAGTTGATATAGTTGTAGAGAGAGAGAGAGGCAATTGATCTTATTCATGTCCAAAAAGAAGAGTTCACTTACCAAGCGGTCCCATCGACATGCCATCAATGTATTATTAAAGGTAGAATCAAAGGAAAAGAGGTACTCGTACCTACAGTGGGCACTCCCTTCGAAAGATCTGAAATCCATTATGTTGACGTTATACATAATCTCCTAGAGACCGGAATGCAATTGGCTTAAGAAAAACAAGCAACTGTCAGTCGAGCAAAAGAACATATTTACAATTCCTGGGAAGACTCTTTGCCCGATAGAACCGATACCTTTTCGACGGACCAAACAAAGGATTCGCGCCTACCACTCGTACCTATCGACCAAAGCACTTATGTGAATGTGTTTAAGTTGCAGCTTATTAAATCTCACAAATTGTCTCAAAAAATAAACCATGACTTATGTGAGGCCGCATAGAATTAAATAACCATGTCATTAACAACAAATTTTTAGAGATCCACTAACTAAGATTAAGTTCACATTTAGGCTTCTTACTTGCTCATGATCGTCACCCAGCCAAATAATTGCTCTCATCCAATTTTACTAGACTGATTTGAAGAGAAAAGTTGCATCTAAGAGTCACTACATGACTTAACTCACCTTTCTTCTTTTTTATTTGTTGTCGTAGATTGGATTGTTGGGATTCACATGGCGTGTTGGTCTTGATTTGGTAAAAGGGGGTGTCAATGGTTTAATTGACAAATTATTATCGAAAAATGGTTTAATTGACAATTTCACCCCCTCTAGGTCGTGCATGCGATTCCACTTATATAATTGTGTGGAAAGATTCTTACATTAGGAAATTTTAAAATGGAAGTTTCCTAAAGAATTGTAAGAGTTGGTTCAAAGTTGTTGAGAGGGACAACCAACACATTACCTGAGACAAGGAAAGAGGAACATTGAGAGACATTCTAGATATTACCAGAGACGAGGAGAGAGGGTTGATGATCTTTGATTGCAAAGATGGAAACAATTGAGGGCAAAAATGTCAAATGATAAAAAATTATAAAACTCCTATTAGTTGTGCCATAAGTAACCTTACAGCTACTGCAAATTTTAAGCCAATTTCAAGGCATAGTTATTTCACTAAGGGTGCCATTTTTGCTATCAAACTTGCTAATCATTGAACTTATTTGCCAAAGTATCAAAAAAGCTTTCAAAACTCTGTTGTTGGCCACCAAAGCAAATCTCAAGTCTGCTGCCTTGTTCTTACATTTATGAAGCATGATCTAGCTATCCTGTAATTTCATAACAAGCCTCAAGCATAATACATACAGACCATTTGAAATACAAGAAAGTAATTACAAAATGATTTTTGAATATTTACAAGGTTTCTGTGTTCTCAATTATCTTGCAGAAATGGAAGAACACCAGCAAACTTCTGTTGATTTATCTCAAAGAATTGTTGTTGCCAAATGTACAAGAAATAATGTCATGGTATCAACTAAAATGATCTCCCGTTATACAAGAAACTTTAATTCCACAGTATAGTGTTTCATTGAAACCATTTACAACATTTCAAAAATGAAATTCAAACTTACAACCTCGCGACAATGAAGTTGCACAACTTCTTTAGAACCAGTGAATTTAGCTGGAGTAATTTTGCAAGCATCTGCATGCTGAATGCCATTAACCTGCCAAAAGAAGTGCAATTTCAACTTCTATTATTATCTAACCTTGACACACTAAAAAGACTTTGTATGCTTTCTGCCAAAAATGTACCATGCAAACATTAATGAACCAAAGCATTTTACATCCATGAGAAGAAGTTTATCTAATTTAACATAAAACTTTCAGAGTCAACAAGATTCTTTGGTTCAGCAAATGCTAGAACTTCATCAGACCTGAATATATAAAGCACAATTCCAAGTTCTATCTAGTAAGGAAAGATCGAAGAAAAGTATGGAAATGAGATAATGTCAAATCAGAAATTTCATACAGGGCGCACATTGGGCATTCTACAATCAAATTTAGGATAAAACTGTCCTTATATATATATATATATATTACCTGAAAGTGGTATCTTCTCATTTTTAAGGAGTATTAAAAAAGAAACAAATAAAAAAGAAGAAAGCCCTATGTATTAAGAACCAAAAAAGCAGAAAAAAGGACAACAAAAAGGACAAAAAGAAGAACCAATACCAATTAAAAAATACCAATCTGGTCTTAGCCGTGTGGCACAATGAGAGATAGTTGCCAAAGAGAAAGATAAGGGTATACATCACCAAAGGAGAAAGTCGAGCAGCTCAAGTTTGAAGCCAACCTCAGCCCTCATATACGTACGACAGATAGATTAGGCAAGATAGAGCTAGAGTTAAGGAATTTATACTTCGCCCAAAATATCTCAAGGACTATTCATCGCTTATATAAGACCTAAACTTACGTGTACAACATTTACACAAGGCATGCTTATCAATAATAGAATATATCATGGAAAAATTCATCTAGACCCCCTATAGTTTATCATAATTTCAAATGCATCCCATTTGCTATCTGAAACTTTACCGCATCCTTTTTCTAGTTTATACGACAGCATCTAGGTCAGCTCAGTGCATGAGGCTCTCCCACTACTGTAATGTCTGTGATGAGTCAAATATATATAGCCTTACTCCCACATGTTGATTGTCCTTCATTGATGCCATTCAAATCTTCAATATTCCCCTTACATATTGATGTTGGTGATTACTTCTTGTTATTTATGTGGATAACATTAAGATTACAAGTGACAATTCTGTTGGTATTGTCAAGTAAAAACAGTGTTTGCAAAATTGTTTTTATACTAAAGATCAATGATCAAAATTTTCGTTTGAAAACAGTTGAAACATCTAAAATGTTTTCATTTTCAAGGCAAAACGAATCAGTGATGGAATTAAAATTCCAATGCTTCGAGATGTTTCGTATCGTTTCTAGATGTTTTAACATGTTTCCACCATTCTGAAACCATTGTTTCAAAATGTTTCCAAAGCATTTCTGTTTCCTAGGAGTATAGTTATCAAATCGCGATTCGTATCGGGAATCGAAATCTTAGATTTGAGAATCATAAATCATATCGATTCAAGAATCATAAGGTTCGACACAAAATTTAAACAATGATAAAAAAATAATATATACATATTTAAAATAGGCAAGATATTAAATATTGAACATTATTGTATTTTAAAAATAATTAATAACCGATATTGACATGATCACGCCATCTAAATGGAAAGATGCTAACCATTATAAATCTTTATAAAGGCACACTTGAGTTTGTACCTCTATTACTTCTTTCCTAATGCATAATAAATCGTTGCCTCAACGCACCCTTAAAAAATCACTTCCCACATTCGATTGAAAAATAAATTTTCGATGATGAACAAAAAACAGAGCATTTATTGAAGAAGAATAAAAAGTAGGGTTTGGTAGCTATTTTTGAAAAAGAAGCATACCTACAATGAAGGAGAAGTTGTCTTTGTGTGATGTTTCACAAACACTTGAACAGTCGCTTGAGAGGCAGAGACGCAACCAAGACATACAGAGAGGCACGAGTTTTATATTTGGGGCAGGACCTCTTCTAGAAAAATGACGTTGTTTTACAAGAAATACGGATAAAAAAAATAAAACAAATCGTGCGATTCCTTTGAATCGTATGATTCTTGCAATTCAAGTGCAATTCTCGACCACGAACGATTCTATAGTAAGATATAAATCAAATGGGGACTAAATCGAATTGAATCAGAAGAATCGAATTGCAAATCATACGATCTTCATAACAATGCCTAGGAAACCAAAATAATGTACCGAAACGATTTTGATCCTTGCTAAAGATTTATGCAAACTTAGACACCTTCTTGGTATCCAAGTTTGCTAGGTCTAAGCATAGCTTGTCCCAAAGAAAATATGTCCTTCACCTTTAGCCAAAAATAGAATTTCTAAGTGGTCCTATGAATCCAAATAATAAACTCCCGGTGGATGAGATTGAACCATTTGAAGATCCTGGATGATTTCGCCACTTAGTTAGGTTATAAAATTACCTCACTAGATATCACATGTAGTGAGGGTAGTAAGTCAATTTATGAAAACTACTCGGATATCACATTGGGATTCTATTATTCGCATTCCTCGATATCTTAAATGAGTACCCAAACTTCTACTACAAAATATTGTACGTTGTAAGAGTCAATTTAGTTACATGGAGGAGTAAGAGATAGATAATGGTGACACAATTGAGTGAAGAATCTAAGAGCTGGTCCACACACGTCATGAAATTGGTTTTCTAACTCAAACTTCACTTCAATTATTTTGCCATAATCAAGCTACTTTCATATAGCTTCAAACCAAGTGTTTCATGAAAGAATTAGACACATTTAAGTTGACTGTCACTTTGTTCGAGAGAAAATAATGAGTGAAGATATTGTTATACCAATTGTTAAATCTAAGGATCAACTTGTTCATATGTTTACTAAGTCATTGAGTCATACTCGAATAAGAATATGAACTTGGTTAATATAAAAACTCAATTAGTTAAATATATGATTGAAGTAATCTAGGATTTATATATATTTTTAAATGTATGTATAATGCATGTAAAAAGTTCATATGTAATTTTGCAGACCATCATTTCCCATTAACACGGTTCATTGACAAAATTTAACTAAGGTTGATAGGAAAGTTTCAGAAAATAGAGGGGTGTACTTGAACATATGATAAACTAAAAGGGAGGTGGATAAATTTTTTTTTATATCTACTATTAAGAGTATTAACCATAAAGCATCCATCACATTTGGTCATTAGGACACTAACTGGGGGTGTCAGTGAAGTTTTAGGTATTAACGGGTATATCCTTGAATTTATGTCTATTAAGGGATGTGGATGATTTTTTTTCCAATATTTTTGATCTACACACAGCACACTAGTAAAGCATCTCCAAAGCTTTAACTAAATGTCAATTAAGGATAAGGAAAAACATTGATTCTAATCACAAATTTTACATAAAAAACATTCTCTTGTTGAATCATTTTACATCAACAAAAAACAAAGCTTGAATGCTTAACAAAATCTGGAATCTAGCAACACACTCTTGGTATAGTAAACTTGTCCAAACCTAGGAAAGCATATTACTAGAAATTACTAATAGGCTGGAAAATTCAAGATGAGAAAAATAAAGAAAAGTTGCCAAACGATTAAATCATTCGAAACATAGAAAATATAAGGAAAGAGCAAGTAATTGTTGAAAGCATATCGATAGCATATCACACAATTCTTCTTAAGAAGTTCATTAAAACTAAAAAAGAAATAAAAATAGTACTTGGTCATATATCTCATAGAATCGTCTTAAAACAAGTGGTACCAAAGACCCTGTGATTAGATTACCTTTCAGCCAAACTTTGCTCATTCAATAACAATGTCCTCAAGTCTAAAACCCCCCTCTTTCCTTACTTTTTTAGGTTGCAAAGTTCAAATATTTGTTAAAGTTACTCTATAGAAATTGAATGCTTAATAACCCGTTGTTTCCCATCTGCATTCTATTTATTGTTGTCAACGACAACCACATCAGACTCGAGTGTGAATCATCCTTTATTCAACACGTACTCATCACTTAGTAGATAGAATTTATGCTCTACAAGTAGCAACCAATGGAACCGATGGTTTAGCTATATTAAATGAAGGAACCGAAGGTTTAGCTAGAAATATGCTATTTATCACAAGACACGTAATGGTTTCCAATTCCACATAATAATCATGCTGACTAAAAATGTAATGCAATCAATAAACCCCTTACACCAGCACCAGTGGGGAAAATAACCATGAAAGCACTCAAACAAAGAACTGATTTTCCATATTAGGGGAGTGGAAAGAAGAGCACATGCTATGGTAAGTGTGAAATTTTTACCCATTCTTGGCAGGAATGAACAGCAGGGGAAATCTTGAAATTGTCAGAAATATAAAATACAAAAAATTAAATGTTCTCATGATGCATTACCAAATGAGATGTTAGGGACCAAATATCAAAATACCGCGTACCTTAGAATATTGGACAATACATTTAAAATCCACCGACCAAATGGTGAAGAGGAACACTAGAATGTTAACAGCAATAAGGCCATCAAGAACTATAAATGCGTCTGCAATGTCCAAGCTAGGAACAATGGTTGTCAACCAAACAGTATAGATAATGGCAAAAGGCCACACATCCAATCAACATGACCAGTGCCTCTTTCTCCAAGGATCAACTCTATCCACCACTTTCCCACCAACATGGAAGCCTGACATCTCACTTCCAACTTAACAAACATGAACCAAAATTAATTACAAAAACAACCCTCTCTTAGCACCCTTCTGCATAAAGAAAAAGAACATGAATTAAGAAACCAATAGCATAAAACTTTTTGGTAGTAATAACAAGCCCATCAGATTGCATTTTCTTTGCTTAAGAGAAATTTTATAATGAATACTGCTCATTAAAATCTCAATTCAAAATGTTTTAAAAACCTATATGCATGGTATGGATGGTATGAACTTTTTTTAAAAGGAAAAAAATAATAATACAACATGCCTCACACGATAAGCCCCAAAGTAAAAAATAAGTTAAACTACTCCGAATATGGACATCATGTAATTGGAGGGAGATTTCAAAGCCTTTGTCCAAACATAATTAGCACATAATATGCATTATCACTATCACCTTTATTAAGCATGTTGAGACTAATTTAAATTTTAACTAATACTTGGGGCACCAAATTCCCAACATATACTTGCGACATCGGGCCCTTATATACATGACAACATATATATCTATATCTATATTTATAATACTCTAAAATGTCAACAAAAGTGAAAAACTTTTGATTGACTATTATGTCCCTGTTAAAAAATGAAAGACACTCATATCCTTATATGTTTAATTATCTAATATTAATTAAATGTGTAAATGACCCTTCATAAACCTCCATTTATGTGTTTATTTACCACTTATTTATATCAGTAAAATTAAAAACTTTTAATTTTCCATTTTAACTCTAATGAATAGTATAATATCAATTATCCGGTTGTTCTCTTTAATCTTCCTTCAATATTGCATTATAAATTCGTTAATTAACCTCAACACCTTTGCAATATCCCAACAGCCGTCTCTTTCTCTTCCATTATGATGTCACCTCTTTCACTTTTTCCTCTTTTAAGAGCTAGATGCACAAAATCTGAACAGTTCGTCGAAGATTATTTTGATCCATATTTATCAAAGTGAGTTTTTTTTTAGCTTTTTTCCCCCTTGGCTACATGAAATTTTTTGTTTTTGGTGGTTGTTTAAAATCTGTTGTTTGAATTTGATGGGAATTGTTTGAGATTGGAAAAATGTTGAAGGGATTATGAGTGCGGTGTAGTTAATTAGAGACAAAGCTTGAAAGGATAATCAGAAGAAGAACGAATAGATGATTTTCAGGTCATTTTGTTATTTTTCTTAGATTGACTTTTTTATGCCCCAAAAGTATGTGAATCTTTCATCGTTCTCTCTCTCTCTCTCTCTCTCTCTCGCATGTGCCCTGTGTGCATAAATAGAGATGTTTATTCAAGGAGAGTTGAAACAAGGAGTATTATGATGAAAATGTTGTTTTGTGTATGTATTTTAATGGATTCTATTGGAAAGTAGAGATTTATTGAGCCTCTTAGTTGTAATTATACATTAATAAAGTTTATTCTGATTTGCAGTGAATATGGAGCTTGAATATGGTTGTATCTTCTTTATTTACACATTCTATTTCAATATAATTTAATTGTATAGTGTAACAAATGTATTTCCATGGTATAAGTGGTTGCCTAATCAAGCCACGTAATTAGTTGATAGTTTGGAAGCTAGCTACCTTTTGTCCATGATATTTACTAGAACTATTGTTCATGGTAGTAAGCAAGCATCAGACCCAACAATTGTTGATTGATTAAAGTATTATACTTGGACATCTCTATTACAAACAGACGCTGACGTAAAGAGATTAAAATTTAAGATTTTAGGTCTTACGAAGTTTGAACTATAGCTGAAATTTTTTACCATGTTTGTTGGTTTGATAAGGAGTAATGGGTATTTAGGAATTGATGTACGTTTTTGCCCTTGAAGTACTATATGCGTCTAGAATACCTAAAATTACATAATGATTACCGTTTTATGCAAAACTGTAACAGTTTAGACTGTTTCCTTGACAATCTGAACTAAGGTGTTGGAAAGATCCTTGTTGATAAGGCGATTCATTCCAATAAAGGACTTCTCAGGACAAATAGGAACCATTCAATAGGCAACTATTAAAGAGATCTTGATTTTTTTTTTCCAAGAAAGTATCTTGAATCTTTCTTTACTAATTCCAACTTTGTCATTTCACTTCTTGCTTGATTATCTCCTTTAACCACTTTCAAAATTTAATCAAACCACTTTTGTGGCAATGCTATTTGATAACAAATTTGAATACTTCAAAATTCATGTCACGACATTATTATTTCATGGAGCAGTCTATGAAGTTTTAAATTTTTATTCATTTACCTTTCTTGATTTTTGGGTTAGTTTACAACTTGAACAAGGAACAGTAACATCTTTGCTAGAGGAAAATGGTATTGTCAAATGAGTTTAATACAAGTACAAGAATGGCGAAGAAATGAATGCATATGCTTCTCTCACAGTCAATGAAAACTATCTTGTGCCTATTTGATTGAGTGTCTGTGTATGTGCATTTGCATATGCTTAATTAATCTTCCATGCCCTATCATATTACTCATTCTGAATTTGCTTATCTTTTTGTTTTCATCACATGAAAATTCAAACATTACTTTGTTGGTAGTGAATGACTAGGCTTGAAATGCATATAAACTGTTAGCTAACCTGTAAGTAACGACGCATCGCAGTCCAAAAACATAAATCGATAAGCGATCTGAACATCTTCAAAATTGCGGCCCACCAACCACTATCAAGAGACAGTGCCAGTGATCGAGGAGATAAATTTTATTGAAAGTGAAAAAGATGAGCCGCATCTTGCATAATACACCTCTAAGGAAATTATCCCACAACAAGAATTGCATAAAAACTTTGCTTTCTTTTTCAAAATGTGAAAGAAATGGAGTTAGGATATTTAATTGATTTATCTCTATCATCATTAGTTTTTTGTTATCTTTGTTTCACCAACAAAAATAAATTCATGTTTATGTCAAAAACAGGTCACAAAGAGGAGGCATTCCGCAAGTGGAGGCCCATGTACAAGCATCTCTTACAAAAGCCTATGAATTGACTCACAAAAAAAGGGTTATGCCTCTTTAATGCCATGTAAAACTTTCTTGTCTATCATGATATATTTAATGTTATATTAATGCTTTTTTCTCACTTGAAGCTTCAAGCATTATTTTGGGATCATAGAATTTTTGTGTCAGTGTTGCAATACCATCCTCAAGCAATAACAAATTCACTCCTAATATTCCTTGGTTAGTGGTTGGTAATTTCAATATATGTACAAATTCATTAGAGAAAAGAGGTTGTAAAGCACCTAGTTTCCTAGCAATGGAAGATTTTTCAACTTTTATTCATGAAGTTGGGTTGTGGGACTAAGGTTATACAGGTAGCAAATCTACTTGTGCCTTATATGTTTATCAGGGTTTGGGGGGTTTGGAAAGGGAGTATAAGAAAAATTTCTGATAGATCCCGTAATTTCGTGTTTGGTTAGCACTTTTAAATCCGGCATTTATATCCTGGCCCATAAGTGGTCCAATATGCTAAACCCACATACATGAGTTTGGCAAACCTAAGGGGGTGAGTTTCATATTTCCTAGACTAGGTTAACGACGCCAAATGACCCTTCTATCCATAATAAAATTTCCTATCTACCAAATCACATCCCAAATCCCCATTCACTCCTCCTTGTAATTAAACAAACATGGGTATGGATTGGATTGATCAATGGATAATATAGTCATTTACAAAAAAATTGTGTTGATAATTGTAATAGACCTGTGGGTACCACATGTGGATATGATCCTTACCAAGGATAGGATTTATATATGAATCCCATGTAAACAAAGGTGGGGATTGAGTTTGGAAGGGTTTGATAAAATCAATCCAAGCCCTCATCCATGCAAACATGCCCGTGGTGTAACAATCATCCTAGGCTAGCTACAGTATGGTTAAGATTGTATTGAGCATTAGTTAATTCGGCTTGGAATGTGGATTTCTTTAGTTCTGAAGTTTCGCATGAAGCAAGAGGTAAATTAGATTACTCACCTTTGGCGATTAAAACTATTGAATCTAATGTGCCTAGAATTTACTTTTTTTCGCTTTCAAGATATGTGGGTAAAGCACTCAATTTTTCGTCATGTTGTACATAAAAGTTGGCATAGAAATTTCCCGACAATCCATTAGAGAATTGCTTCCAGAAGCTAAAGAGAGTTAAAGGTCATTTAAGAATCTAGAACAAAAAATATGTTTGGGAACATTTTTTGAAAGATAAAGGATCTTGAGGAGGCTAATCTTAAGGCAGAATTGGCCTAAGAGTAGAAGGCTAAGGCTCTAGATATAGCTAAGAGATATTTGCATGAAGTTTTAAGAATGGAGGAAATCTTCTGGAAACAAAAAGCGAATACAAAGTGCGCAACTGAGACACAAAAAAAATAATTCATTCAATGGCGAAGTTTAAAGCTCAAAGGAACAAAATTCAAAGGATTAAGGATGATCATGGAGTTTGCAAGAGAAGATGAGAGTGATATTGCAAGAGAAGATGAGATTTTCATTACGAAGTTATATACTTCAGAAAGACGTGATGTGGCTTAGAAGCTCTTTTCAGTTATTCCAAGCATTATTATAGAGGCGGATAATAGAAGGTTAACTTCTTCTACAATGTTGGATGAGCTATTCAAAATGAAATTCATAGTTGTTTCCATGTCTGTGGAAAGTGCACCTAGTCTAGTTTGGAAAAAAATTCGTATAGCTTGGGATATTATTCAAAATGATTTGCTTAATGCTGCCAACTACTATTTGGAAGGTGGAGAAGTTTCTAGTTCAATTAATTCAACTTTATTGACTCTTATTCCCAAGGTGCAACATCCTAGATCTTTCTCTGAATTTCAACAAATTAGCTTATGTAATTTCATGTACAAGATTCTGTCAAAGCTAGTTGTTGTCAAATTGAAAATTCTAATACCAAAGTTGATATCTCAAGAACAACACGGATTTGCTGAAGGGAGGAGTATTGGGGACTGTATCTCTTTGGCACAAATAATTGTGGATGAGCTGGACATGAAGACTTTAGGAGGGAATATGATTCTAAAACTTGATATAATGAAGGACCGACGACAGGTTAGACTGGGATTTCATTTGTGGTAATGTTCAAAGGTTTAGTTTCTCTAGTCTCTTTATTCGAATAATCTGGAGTAATCAGCATTTGTCTATTTCATTGAATGGTCATAGGTAGGACTATTTTAAGATAAGGAGATCCCTTATTCCTTAGTCTTTTTATCATTCCTGAAGAGGTATTGAGTAGGGGTCTTCATAGCATCTATCAAAATGGTCCGGTTAAACCTTTCAATTGTGGCTTGGAATGTCCATTAGTCATTTATTGTTTACTTATGAAACCTTGGTTTTTCTAAAAAGAGATGAGAAATTAGTGTCGAATCTGTTCTGCTTTATTAATTTACTATCGATGGACCAATGCCTGAAAGATCTGTGCAAAAAAAAAATCTATTGAAAAACTAATGTGAATTATGACAATGGCATGGGTTCGACGGTAGCTCTGAAATTTACTAAGAAACTAAGGAAACAAACACCAAATCACCCAAAGCCTGGAAAAAAAAAAATCAAAACCTAAAGTTGACACCAAATCACACGTTAAGTGTGAAGTTGATAATGTCAGGGTGACGTTCACAATGATAAGAAGTTGACGGTGAAGTTCGGGTGAACCTCCCAAGAGTTTTGTATTTAAAAAAATTAAGCAGTTAAGTTCGTAATTGATAAATATTTTTCCCTTCATTTCAGAAACTATTCCATAGTCTTCCAAACAAAACAAATTTTTCAGATGACAAATCTTGAGATCAATGATGTAGCTACATACACAGATGCTTCATGGCATAACAATCCATATTCTAAATCAAGCCCTTGACAAAATAATGTGCACTACTTTGCTATATATTCTTTCAAATAAAGAAGAATTCTAAGGATACATATGAGGAGACCCGTGGGACAAAATTCTTAATGTGAACCTGATCGTCATACCCCAAAGTGCATTATCATAACACAATCACACTTAATGTGAACCTGATCGTCATACCCCAAAATTCTTAATGTGAACCTGATCGTCATACTTGCTGCAATTCATACCCAAAGCCTCCTCTTTTGATTGTTGCGAACTTGCTCAATACAATGAACAAGTGAACAAGTGATTTATCAGAAATGGAATAATCATCACCCACAAAAAAAAATAATAAATCAACAGCCAAAAGATACTCACCGACTTCACCAAAATAAAAAAAAATGTAGGGCTCTATTTCAACCAAAATCAACTAAAAACAGCCCCCCCCCCCCCCCCCCCAACATGACTCCACCTTTTGTTTCTACTACCACAATTTCCTGGAGGGAAATTAGATAAACAAGACTGACCATTATAATTAATAAGATCAACAAAACCCTAATTCTCTCTGTGGCAAATTAAAGACCCTTAGAGTTAAGAAGATCAACAAAACAACGATTCTAATCGTCTGTGTGCGACTGTGTGCGAGTGCTACTGAGACGAAAAATAGGGGCGGTGGACTTAATGGGCGATGAAAAGTGTGTGCGATATAGTGTAGTGTGTGTGTCAGACGAAATAGAGAGAGAGAGAGAGAGAGAGAGAAGGAGTACCTGGCTTCAGGCGATGGCTGTCTGCGGTGACATTTGGCTGTGGCAGGGGTTGGCCGACAGAAAGATACGAAATAGTTTAAGGGATTCTGGGTGGGAGGTTTTGGGGTGGAGTTTCTGGGTTGGGGGTTTTCGGGAGGGGAGTTTCTACACACATGGATATGCACAGGAGAGAGAGAGAGAGAGAGAGAGAGAGAGAGAGAAGGCGGTTTTAGGCCGGGGTTGGATAGTTATTTAGAGGTTAGTTATGATTTTTTGTGGATTCAATGTTATTTTTATTCAAGTATCACTGTTGTAATTAATATTTTTTCATGTTTTTCAATACGGTTGTTAGTCGAATAATTTCGAGTCTAATTTAAAAAGTTTGTTTCTTAATCGGATTTTAAAAATTATTCAAGTTCGACTCGTTTAAAAAACAAGTCAAGTCTGAACGAGTCGAACCCGAATTGAACCCGAGTATTTACATATAAAAGAACCGAACTTATCGAGTTTGGACTGAATTTGTAGGGCTTATTTTCTAAACGAATCTAAAATCTTATTCAAGTTCGGACTCATTTAGAAAACGAACCGAGCCTAAACGAGTCGAACCCGAACTGAACTCAAGCCATGTAAATCCAAGTGGGGTTCACTTTTCCATTGAGGATTTTATTATTGGTAGATGATATTATGTCATCAATAGTTACGTGGTATTACTGTTACATTTAATATTTACTCGTAAAACAAGTACATAGTTATTCGAATAAGTGTAAAGTTCTAAAAATCCTAACGAAACATTTTGAGTTCTTTTTTTTGTGTTAGGATTCAACAACATTAAATGATTTTTCAATTAACAGCGAAATGGTACGAAAAAGACCTCAAATTTAAAGAATAATAATATAATATAAGTTAAAAAATAAAAAAAAATTGAAAAAGCAAATAACAAAAATTAAAAATTTGAGCCCAAAAGTCCAAATCACGTCACACAATAACATTTATTAGAGAATAAAAAAAGATTAACAAAAAATAATGCTAATAAAATTCATCTATTTCTTCAATTGAAAGAAGTATAATAAGTATCTTTTTTTAACCAAAAAAAAAAAACAAACTAAACACATTTTCTAATTCTCTTAAACTTGTTTTTTTTCATCTGAATGCAAAATACCAATTAAACCATTTATTTTCATTAAAAAAAATGTTTTGATAGAGTTCTTCTTTGTAACAAATAAAACATAATAAAAATTTAGGCGAAAGTTACATAGATAAATAAGTAAAATTCAAATATAGGAAAATAATCTAAAAGAAAGATAACAACAAATTTATTTATAATAAAATCAATCATCTAATACCACAGTTTTGATAAAAAACATATAAAATAAACAAAAAAAATATAAAAATATTAATGAAGAAATTAATTTTATTCCTATAAATATTTATGATCAAAAGTCATATTATTAATCAAAAAAATTTATTAGTAAAATTTGAATAAAAAAATAATTAGCAATTTCAAATCTCATCAAAAAAGTAAAAATAATAGAATTTTAAATTAAAAAAATAAATCATTATTAAGAAAATTACAAAAGTCTCATTGACCATCATTGTTTTAGGCCTCAAATGTTGTTGAGGCTAGGGTTATACGTATATGTTTTGTTTGACTCTACATCATATTAATATGCTATGAAATCATGGATTCTTGATATTTTTACAAATGTTAGCATGTTTTAAACTATGGGATGGTTGGGTAACCATCAAAGTTCTTTTCTCATATTCAAAACCCTAGATTTCAAGAGAAGTGGGTTTTTCTCTTGATTTCTCCTTTATTCTTGATTTCAAAATTTTAGTGTTTCGTATTGAACAACACAATAGTATATATGATGATCTCTTGTTAATTTTTCTTAAATTGTTCCATTGATAAATAAATGTGGATTTAGATGTGAAAAATTAGGGATTTTATGGAATTGAGTATGTTTGAGAAATTGTTGGTGATTGTATCTTATGGAGGTGTTTGGATGACCATGGGTGGCCATTGACCGGGTATTGTAGAGTGAGTAGACGTGTGTGGTTCTTACTCCGTACGGGTTTGAACTTTTCCTACTACTCGTAGTAGGGTTGGTGCCTTGCGAGGACTAAACCACTATTAGCTCACGGGTGCCATGTCAGAGGATTAGTATACTATGTCTGGGTTGGATTTATTATTGCCGGTGCATTGGTATGGGACAATGCATCGATAGGCGCCCTTCCCAAAGTTGATATCCTTGCGAGGAATTGTGTATGTGTAGGCTAGGATATTCTCTATATATTTATTCATGCGATTATCTTACATCAGACTTGAAATATATTGTGGTCGTTGTTTATTGTGTTATCTTTTGGATATGATTATCTTGAAAATTGTTGTGGGAATAATTACTCTTTGAAATGGTTATTTATTGTGGGATTGACTTTACTCTTGCACTTAATTATTGTTAATGTATAAACTTGAGATATTTGAAAATGTCATGTTTTTTTTCAAAATTTACGTATGCTATTTGTGAAATGAGACCAACCATTTTCTATGTTTTTCAAACCTTGTTAGAGTTTGAGAGGATTTTCCTACAGTGCGTAGTGCTCACCCCCTACCAATAATATTTTTTTTTTTAGATTTCATGCTAGAGGAAGACATCTAGAGCTATAGTTTATTTTTGTGCTAAACTAAGGAATTTATTTACAATCATGTATAGTCTAGTATTTTGTTTATTGTGCTGCTAAGTTTGAATGTAATTCTTTTTGTAATGTAAGTGTCATAGCTTAGCCTATTCTTTTGGGATTATATGGTGGATATTACATGTGGTGAATGGTTTAGGGTTTAGGGTTTTGGATTTTGGGTTTTGGGGTTTAGGAGAGGAGGCAGTTATTGCATTCTAGAGAGAGAAGGTCTGACTTCTCTCTAAAATACTGTTCATATTTTTTCAAATCTATTCCTTTTCTGTCAAATTTTTCACTATTTCTTTGCAAAATCCTTTAATTCTTGCTAACTTTGATTGATTTACTATGATTTCTGGCCAAGAACCTCATCAAATTTGCCCAAAACCTCCGAATATAACCAAAAATTTTGCCTCCTTGTTCAAGAAACCGCCATCTGTGGAAACTCTTCCTCCAATTCCTGTTGTTTCAGAGATTAACTCCTTGACAATTGTTGATTCTTTGGGATGTTGCAACACCATTTCTATGCCTCTTATTTCTCATGTGAATCGATGTAAGCCGACAGTTCATTTTGCATCTGTCCTTCCTTCGGCTGTGTCTAATTCTGTGACTAGTCCAAGTTCTTCTTCGGAGTTAGGAATTAAGGTTCCTATTGATTCTTCTTTTGATCAAAATTCTCAGGGAGTTAATCCCCATCATTTTGTGATCTCTCATTCTACTTTGAATACTCAAGATCCTTCGATGGATCGAAATTTGCCAAATCTCAGATCTCTGGCTTTGACAAGGAAATTCAAAATCCTATAGTTATATCGAATGCTCATAATTCTTTTGGTATTCAAGTTCCTTCTTCTAATATCCTATTTGGATCTTTAAATTCTACGAATCCTCTAAAGCCTGCTAAGAGGGTAGTTTTCAATAAA